ACAGTACAACTGGTATTAAAAAAACCCAAAAGAGAAAAACAGAGAATTCAGGTGGAAGCTACCTAAGATATTTCCTGGTTTTAATGGCCAAATTCACTATCTTACAAAAAAGAGTTTTAAGCCTCCATCCAGATACCAGTGCTGGACACAGCATACACATGAATGTCTGGAGTTGCAATTAAATATTAAAAATATTTTGGCAATCATTAATTTTCTTATAGTCTTTTTTGACAGATGAAGAAAGGACTTTATTTTAATGCCTTTGGAATCATACATTTACTTTAATTCTGTACAGACCTAATTGCTGAGTTTTGTGATTATGTTTCCTTCCAAAGACATAACCTTTTACTCTGGCAATTACCACTGGCAAAAATGCACTGCAGAGTGCTCCATAGTACCATATTGCATCTGCCTGCCACTGAGAAACCAACAACTTGCTTGCCACAGGACTCCTCTCATTCTGACTTACTTCTCCTATCAGGAAACACCTCTCAGAAAAGAATCTTTTGAGCTCAAACATTAAGCTCTGGAAACTTACTTATTTTTGCAGTGTGGCAATTCTTTATATAGCATATGACACTTGGTTTCAAATTGAGCTGTTTTTTTAAGATTTCTATTCTGGTTTGCACAGGTGCTATACAGCCATTAAAAAGAAAATCGTATCATCTGGCTCGTACTCTTACCTCTGGCTCTCTGATAAAAGTCACAACAAGCATTTATTTGACAAACTGTACTATAAAACTTGTAGGAAAACGCTTATTTTCTTCACTATTACGAATTGACTGTTACCAGAATACTTTAAAAATTAGCAGTAAAACAAAACTAGGGAATTAAACTCACAAATTTTCCTATTTGCAAACATTTATATGAATTTATCAAAAGTTTTAACTTTAAATACCTAATTTCAGAGGTTAATGTTGATCAGCCAGTAACAAAGGGAGTTAATCAAATATGAATCTTCTCCAAATGTCTTGTCAAACCAGGTAATGATGTCCTGCCAGCCAAACTCAGAGGGAACATGTGAAACAAATACAAAAGTAAACAGGCCTTAAGCTGCCCAAGGGAAAGTCAGCAAGATGGCAATTTCAATCATTTGGAATAATACTAAAGCAGCCTTAGGCTCTTCTCAGAATGGAAACATGTCACTGTTACTGCAATATTTCAACAAATCAGACTGAAAAAGAAAGGAACACTTATGTAATCGCAGCCCTGGAACAGCACTTTAATCTACAGTAAGGTGGAAAATAATTAAGAGGAAATTCTCTTTTTGCAAGTAATCATAAACATACGTAATAACAAAGGCAAACAACAGTTCCTTAGAAATTTTGAGGAGTGAAAAAAAATCAAACCTAGGCACAGATTCCTTTAGTTTTCATACAGGAGGCTTTGGAACAACAAAGACCAAGTTCTACCAAATAAAACTATGAAGCTAATGTGCCTGTGCAATTTATCAACTGCTGAGGAAAGTTACATTCAGAGTTACAAACAAAGCAAAAAATACTTCAAGAACAATTCTGCTGAAAAGTTTCATTAAGATGAATGGGCTGTCATATCATTTAACTGAGAAATCAAAAAATATTTCAAATATTTGGGGAACTTATCTAATCAGTAAACTTTCAGTATGTGTCTAGTCATGTAGCCATCTTTTAGTCAATCATCAGAAAATCAAAGGCAAATTGGCATGACTCAACCCAAACTTTAATACCGCATGATTGTGTCCTGTAAGCTTGTTTTGTGAGAGGGCTGCTGTGGTTTTAGCAGAGAGATTAACGACCGGACCTAAGCTGGCCTCCAAACCTTGCCCTGCTGATGCCTCAAGCCCTTTGAAGTCTGACCATCATACCTGGCAAAACAACAGTGGGAACTAGGCTGGTGTCAGATCTAATCAAGTTTCCTGCCTCAGCATAGCTAACTATGGGGTACACTAATTGGCCCAATTGCGGATTATACCTTTTGCTACAGATTCAAGACAATAATTTAGTCAAATGATGGTTTTTATCTCCTTCTAATTAAGATTCCGAAGTGGGAAGAAATAGGATTAGACAGGCTAACTTCAAAATTGTATCCTTTAAAGTGGTATGCACATATGACAGATCTCTGATAATATTCCATATAATAATATATCACTAGTAACTACTGTGTGAAGATCTGGGAAAGCTTGATAGAGCTACTGCACCTTTTATGATAAACATGTAAGTTTTCCTTGAAAGGGTCTACCACATTATTTACGAATGAAAAATGAACACTCATAAATATTAATAAAAAAATCTTCAATTAAAAAAAAATCCCTTCAGAATACATTTCAGTCAATCTCATTTTGATGACGAAGATACAGGAAAACCTGCAACAGTTCAATGATTCTGCAGACTATGAAGAGGAGGAGTCCCTCTCACAAAACTGCAATCTAATAAAATGGATTTGACATTTAAGGTTGCTTTACAGATGAGGGCCAAACCATAAAATGATTTAACTGGTAAGCAATCCAGAGCTGAGAAAATCCATGTCCCATGCCCTTATTTTAAACTGTCAAAAAAGAATGATGTAGTGATGAAAAGCTTTTTTAGAGAAATTTTGCCATAAATCACAGGTTGTATATTTCTAACTTTTCTTACATAATTTGTTTTTAAAATGGCATTTCAAGTAGAGGTCAGTATTTTCACCCTAAAGTGTGTATATCTAAGCAGTAGATACATTTTTTTAAAAAACTGTAACATACTCAAAATACATTTTTACTTCACATTTAACCTACACACTAAAGAAATCATCAACTTAGATGTACTTTGTACAAAGTATACTGTTGCTTGTACACAATACACAGCGTTGTGCTGCTTTGTTTTTACCGCCAGAACCAAACCTGACTGCTGACACAACACACTCTAACTGCAGAAACCCATCTTATTCACATCCCTTCTTAATTCAGTTTTCCCTTGCTCCCATTTTCTTACGGACCTCAGTGTGCTACTCAGCGTAGCTGCCTCCCCTATAGTATGAGGAAGAAAAACATATATATTATATTATAGATTACTGAAATGTGTACAGGAAGATCACAGTAGGACACTGACCCTGCATGTTCAAAACCGGCTAGTTTGTCTTAGTTCAGCAGCTTATAGAAAGCACACCTCTGACAAAACCTGGTTATTCTAAAGGGGGTGCAGCTAAGCAAGGAAGGGAGAAATTACACAGGCAGGTCATCCATGCAAGTCTAGGGCAACAGGTTGTTTCAAGAGTTCTGCTACACCCATTTCCAACACTTCTGTCCCACTGCTAATTCCATGCTTTTTACAGAGACTCCTGCTAAAGGTTTTGTCATTTTTTGTTTGGTGTTGGTTTTGTTTTTTTTTGTTCCAAATCACATTACAAATTGGAATCCCAAATACAGCAGACAGAAAAAGATACATTCTGAGTCAGGACTCAGTGAGGGAAAAAAAAACAAATATTCTAATTCATAGCCATAATAAATGAAAATTTACTATGTTGCGCAATGAGGGTGCACTCTTCTCTGCACTTCTGAAAATATTAAGAATGTTTGTATTTCAAAATCAAACAGATGGCTATTAAGGTATTTGTTTCTAATGTACCGCTCAAAAGCAGTTGTTAAAATGGGTTAACTGGTTTCACTAACCACATTCCCTGGAAAGTGAGAAGCATTATGAAGGAATGTCTTTGGGAAAAATGTCCTCCTCCATGTATTTGCCTTTAAGTGGCTTCTGAAAAGGATACCTCTAGTTGTGAAATTTCTAGCACTCATGCAGAGATGACCTGCATGAAGAACTGGCTGCCTGATTAACTATTAACTACTCTCAATAGGGTTAGATAATTAAAGACATTGATGACCATTAATTAGGAGGAGGGCACCTTAATTTGTCACTTGATAGGGCCCTTTCAATGATTTATAGGTTAGGGCTACTTGCAATTGTGAAGGGGAGGGGGCAGTGAAGAGAGAGAACCCTTAAGTTACCTTATCAAGTGGCCAGCTAAAAAGGGCAGAGGGTCAAATAAGGGCCAAAATGGTCACTTAAGGGTGAAGTCCCAAACACCAAAGCAGTGCCAAGCCACATTGACCATCATTTGGTGATGGAGTAAAAAATATGCTAATTTATTGGTGGCAATTCTCTCTTTTTATGGTTTCAAGCAGTTAAGACAAGTGGCCTGCTTAAGAGCTTTTCATCTGAAAAGAGATTAAACAAAATGGTTTGTCAGGGATGCTTGGCTGTTTTATGTCTTTGTTAAAAAAAAATTTGCCCAGACTGTACCAATGACTATCACAGCGCCCTGAAAGCCATCTTCCATCTCTAAGCATTACTTGGTTAATAAATACATCAGCTCTAATTGCTTAATAGTGCTATGTTCATTTGCTCTTTAGCAAGATTAAAATGAAATACATCTTTTGTATTACTACCTTCTATCAGGACTGTCTGCATAAAGGTCATAGAAAAAAGTTTAAATTTAGTAGGAAATTTACTTAGGGACATTAGTGTAAATGATACTGTGTTTAAAATGACATAAAAGAGCGAAAGGTGATTTCTGTAATGCAAAGAAAATGGTTTCTGAATACTGATAAGGACACTTATCCCTCATACCACACACAATTTTAGGCAGCATTAGACATTAAAATCCCTCTACTGGGGTAATAACATGTAGCTACTTTCCCACCCACTAACACAAGTAAGAGCAAGTCATTAACATTTAATTAAATATGCTCCCGACATCCTTAGAAACATGTCACACTTTGTTATTGAAGGTTGTGGCCTACTTTCTATGTACATTTTAAAGCCAAATAAACTATTTATAACAGACTGATTTAGTGCCGCAAATGAGACATTTTTAATTAGAATTCATATAACAGGATTTTATAAAGTCATTCTGAACAGCAAAACCAGAGTGAAATGAATTTACAACATCTGATGCATATTTCATGCATTTCACAAAACGAAACATAAGAGATGGGATTAGCTCCACCTTTTGGGTTCTAAATAGTGAAACAAAACTGTTTCTCTTACCTCAATGGTGAACAGCTTCCTTTTTAATCTAAAAGCAAGATCCTTCGTGTCTGACACATCACAGATCAAGCTATTAAGCCGAGGAATCTGACGTACATGAACCAAACCTGGTGGAAAGAAAGAGTAAAGGAGGAAAAAGAATTAAGAAAACGCTGTCATCTAGATGCATAAATTAGTCCTACAGCAGAATTCTGTATATTTACACACTCATCCTCCCCTTTTTAAACTGGAGCTTACTACCAGGAGCAATGAAGCAAATGGTGTGATTATACTCAAGTAATCAAGCAGAATAAGATAAACAGAAATCCTTTTGCGAGGAAAACTAATTGCACTTTGGTACAGAAGTACAGATGTAAAGAGCGATCTTAGTACTTGTCAAAACTACAGCCGGTTTGTGTGTGATTTTCTCTTTTATTTACAGTAAGCAAATATGGCTATCACCTTGCATGCTGCCCACGGCACCACTGAGTGATCTTTATTTTATTAAATGCACCAGTAAGCAGCCAGCAAAACAAGGCTTATGGGTTAGTGATAACCACTGAAGCTCTAATGAGAAGTACTTCATTTTGCGCCCTGAAAACGACTTGAAATCAAGTTGCTGGAAAATACTGATTTAGATCCTGCTTTTCAAGAAATTTTAACCCCTATGCCATGCTTGGAGAAATACATTTTCTTTGTGCAGGAGGCTTACAGAGCTGTTCAGATGATTTTAACAGTACTAGGTGCACTGCAAGCTCTGCATTCTGTCAGCTAAAGCTCAAGCTGATTTTTTCTGACAAGGACGCTGGATGGTTTTTGTGCAGCCTAATATAGTTTCTGAACAACCTAAGGGTGATTTCCTACATCTGAAACCCAGGAAAATTCTACAGGGCTTCTCAATTACTGGCCTATATTTGCTATTCATAAAGTCACCATCTAAATGGAAATACTGAACATTTATAAAAGACAACTTACTTGAAAACGGCAGCTGTGAGAAAAACCCCAAGCACTAAAACCCTAATTTAAAGTAAGGCAAGTATTTTTGGGGGGTTTATTTTTTTTTTCTTTTTTTAAGGAAGAATAAGGGTAGAAAGTTTCCTAAAATAGAAATAATTTTAAAAGCACCATTTTTATGGGTACCAATTACAAAAATTCTCAATAGTATTAGAAAAATATTTTTATACTTTGAAACCTTCTATCCCTGTCTCCAGTCTGGTGACATAGGAGAATTATTTCTTTGGCTCATGAGTTCAAAATAGAATTATTATGTATAGAAATACCAGGTACAACACAAGGTTGCTTATACACAGTATTCTAAAATTTTTACTTAAAAATCAGCTATATAATTCTTCTGTTATTATATGGACTTTCCAATCATTTAGATTTACAGACAGCTTAATAAAATTATTTGTGTAGGATTCATTAAATAATGCAATAATTTAAGTAAGCTTCTATTGAATGTCAAAATCTTCCACCATCTGCAGTAATTAAATAATCTTAAAATATATTCTTAAGCAAACAGAATCCACAAAGTTAAAACTGTCAAGAATACCTTTTTTAGAATGTTAAGTTACGGTTGCCTAAACCTCAAAAGCTATGTATATTGGCATATCATTTTTATTAAGTAGTACCAGAAATGATTTAGCATACAGTTTTACAGGAACCCAGGAAATAACTGCTAAAACACACATTGTCTTAAAGAATTTTTTCCTTTCCCTGAGAAAGGGAGCATCAAATTGACAGAATTATGTTAGCATAAACAAATGCCACAGCACCATTATACAGTTGAAAAAATAATGAGGCAAATTATTCTAGCTTTTGTTCACATTTCTTTTTTTGTTCACCTTTTTTTCAGATAATGAGATGTGCACTATTTTCAGATTAAAAAAGATTTTTCTCTGATTTATTAATTACAGCCTGCATACACACAGTGGTGTCTCAACACCATCTTTGCTTCTTTTTCTGTGTATGCTGCTGTGGAAAACACTGCCACATTCTCACATGTTTACAGCAGGTTTTGGATAAGCGGTTTACTTTCAACTAAAGGTTTCTATGGAACTCCAGTAGTATCATAATAATAATAGCTGTAATTTATGCACCCTTGGAGCACCGCTCTGGATTAGCTAAAATTGTTTCTCATTCACTGCTTTGGCTATGCATAACTTCTAATCTAGTCTTTTAAAACTTAAATAGTTCTGCTGAAGCAGCTAACATAGTTTTTGGGAAACAACAAACAAGATTAAACACCATTACACGTTTCGAATATAAATCACTTGAAAGTCTAAATGATTTTGTACCAAAATTAGTTTTGCATTTTCCATGCCACACATATTCATATTCATTTCTTTAAATGCGTAAGTGCTATAACATAAAGCTGAAAACCAGAACATTATTTTTAGATCAAGTTTATACAGCACACCATTTAGCAGTTTATTCACCTTAATATAATATATGTTTTCTTGTGTTCTCTATTTAAAACTTGGCAGATCAAAAGTATTGATTTCACGACAGATTCAGCTCGCTGGTCAGATGATTGCCAAGGTTCCTCTGCATGTGAATTCCCCAAAGCCTGCCTGTTGAGATGTACATCTGATTGAGCCATGCCTCCGTAATATGGCTTGACAACATGCAAGGAGTTGCCATGTTTCCTTTGCAGCCTTAATGCACTTTACTGAAAATTTTCCTAACTCAAGCCTGGTTAGCAAGGAGAAACATCTAAGAGGTTTATTCTAAAATGAAATCAAATGCTACTTTATAGCAGATACCCAATTGGAGGGTAAGCCACTAAGTGCCCTAGAAACACTCAAGGCAGACTTTTTGCATTGCTAAAGAAGGAACTTACCATGGTAGTCCTTGTATAATGGATTGGTTTCTCTCTCTGAGCCAATAAATGATTCAAGACCAAGTACTGTATCTGACAAGTTTGTTACACGTTCCATAATTGCTTTATTCTGTAAGACATGGAAACAAAATACACATCCTATGTGATGAAAAAGGTAATTAATGTTCATAGAGTAAGCCTTGGTCTTCTCAATGGCAAACTGGGGAGAAAATAGGTCATAAATACCTAGAAATTACATTAGAGGGCTTTTTTATTTTTTTAAGAAAAAGGACTTGAAATTTTGGTCTAAAGAAAACATATTTGACAAGGAGAAACTATAAAAGGGCTAACTCAGCAAAAAATTAATATTTTCCTAAATCTTCAGAACATCAGCATTTGCTCACATCAAGAGATATTTACAAACTATGCGGCAGTTAAGCACCTCTCACTGACTTCTACTATGAGTCAAGATGCCCAGCTTTTGTTTGTGCTCTGAAAACTTTGGTTTTGGATACACTTAAGTATATCTCTAAGATTTTGAGCAAGTACAACCCACATGATTATTCGTTTTGGTCATCAGTCAAAACCATGGAAACCCAAAGCATTTCTTTCCTCCAGTATTTTTCTTTCTAAAAGTTACTCTCTATACAACATATGAATCTAAGGCTTCAAGCAGCATTAGAATTTCTCAATATATTTGTGGTAAGTGAAGCCTTATGCCTCGTGCAACAATGGAGTGCCATGTGCCTTAAATAAGCTGTTTTCTGTGCAGTTTTCCTTACTTCATTTTATGGAGCAGAAAACAACATTCAAAGGTGACAACAGAGATCTTCAGAGGTAACTCCAGACTAAATGTTCTTAAATGATTTGATGATGTCAGTATTTAATGAGGAAAAAAAAAAAAGAAAAAAAAGAGACAAATCTGTGCTAAAAGCAAAATATTTCTTTAAAATAAGAAGTTGTTATCTTGCAGCTGCCTGGACAGCTGGTATACTTTGGAGTAGAGAGAAGGGAAACATCCCTTCGTAAGTTGGAAAAGTCCATTCATTGTACTGACATACAGGTTCATTTATTAAAATAGCGATTAGTACATCAATTGCTTTCAGGAACCCATGTTTCAGTGACAGTCTATTTCCTAGTCACAGAGAGGCCTACAAAGCAGACATGAAAGCTGAACATTTCCTACTCTCATCAAAGAATAATCTGAATTCTCCTTGTTGACCTCTACAGAAAGTAACTTGTGGCCTGCCTGCACAGACCAATCTGCTCAGGTTACAAGGCCTAAATCCACAGATCCCATGGCACCTTTACACCCCCTCCCATTCCCACCTTAGGGCCAGATGGCATTAAATCCTGGGGACTGATCTCTTTTCAAAGCCCGTACTTGTGCACAGGCCAAAATGATCTATCCCCACAGAATCAGGGAACTTCAGTTTTACCTGCAAAGTCTAATGATGGATAATGATAAAACACTACAGAATTTCCCTTATGAGGAATAACATGAGTGATCTGAGTTAAAAGAACACTGGCTACCCATCAATCCCTAAGCTTTGCTTTTATATCCACCCCCGAAATATTAAAGCTGACTTGCAAGTTACTTCCTCTTCTAGGAAGAGAGAGACAGTATACTACATATCAATGGAACCTTTTGGTTACATTATTCTACAGAGACAACCACATAAAGATGGTATAAATATAAATCTGAAGTAGCCAACGATCTCTAGATTTCCACAGACCAGAAATGACCGTATCTTTCCAGTTCTTCGGCAGGATGCTGGATGTTATTTGTATTAGCAGGCAAAACAAAATTGGTACATAAATAAACAAAATTATGATTTCTGGAAGCTAACCTAATTCTCAGTATGGAAAAAATATTCTACCATTTAAAGAAAAATTTGCTGTCCATTAATGTTTTTGCTTGCTGGTTTGGATAAAAATGGGTTACAAAAACTGGACTGAAAGATGGTCAGCCATCAGCAAGGTATCCTCACCATTAACAGTCCTGCAAAAACCAAGAACAGCATCTTTCCTATTTGGCCTTAATTCTGGAAAGATTAAAGTGAGGGACAGCACCTCAATAGTTGCCTAATGATACATATGTCAATGCTGGCTTCAGTTTTTCTTAATAGGTTTGCTTTCTTAAATTGTAGTCTGTTTGCCTGCTGATTACGGTTTTGTTTTTAAAGTGTGTAAAAATATTCCCCTGGCTTAATGCAGTGCATCTTGGGAAATATTTCGCACAGTGAATCGCCACACCAAACAGACATTTGCTTATGTGGCATTGTTGCCATAGATTTGTATCTATCATGTATTTTCTAGTTTGCAGCACTCAGCACATTAACGTTCAATCAAAGCTGACGTCAGCACACAGATACTTGTGATGTATGGCATCCTGACATAAACACACAAATCATGTTGCCCCATCTGGGCTTGAAAATTTAACAGAGCTCCAGATCTTCCTCCAGCCCCATACAAATCTACCTCCTGCTTCTGGCATAAACTTGGCAGCTCTGGAGGTGAGCCAGGACATGGTTAGGAGAGAAGCCAGGAATGGGGAGATTCAGGGAAAGAGTTTGTTGGCAGCTGGAAGAGGCATTGTTTTAAATTGCATGCAAAAAATAAAAAAAACCCAAACTCCAACCCAGTCCTGAAAAGTTTTCAGTCTTGCTAGATGCACTGCAGGTCTTCTTAATTAGTTAGTTCAGCCAAAATGTAATTATTCTAACAACATGGTAGCAAGCCTGTTGTGCAGGCTGGGCTGGGCATTCATTCTATATCTTACTTTGTGCTTGCTGTTTTAGAGAGAAATTATCTTTTAAGGGCAAACTTGCAATATTAGGGCTTAACCAAGCAAAACTAAATTTGTAGTTTCAAAACAATAGGAAACTAGACATATTTGTTTAACCAGCTTTTGGGAAGGGCAATTATAGAAAAAGACTGCTTTGTCCTACTAATTTATTTGCAGAATCTACATAGCTTCAAGTAATTATTTGTGTGTATTTGTAAATACTTATTTACAAATAAACATATCATCTCCTGTGTCTGAGTATAAAGCACAGTATTCTACCAACAAAAATACATGTACAGCCTCTGTACTCAGACTTACAGACTGAAATTAATACTGTGTTTCTCCTGGATTGAGTTCTTACTGTACTGCAATTTTACAATTACTACTAATAATCAAATCAATCTTGGTTCATCTGTATTCTGTATTAGGAAAAAAACCCTCTCTTTTCAACTCTGCTCTAATTTCTAGTTCTCCTCTGATTTCCTGTCAAATTTTTTATAACACCCAGAGATATGTCCTCCCATTTTTATTTCATCAGTTTCTAAAGAAATTAAAAAGCTCACAAAATTTAAGTAATAATATTTAATTTTTTAGTCCTCCCACTGGATTAAGTATAAAAAAGTAAAAAAACTGAAAATGTTCTTAGAATGGCCTCAACTTTGGTATATAGTACCTATCTCAAAATTTAATAGAAAAATAAGAGACTCATGTTAAAGCTCTACAATGAGATCCAACTAGCACCTGTATAAATACATTAAGCTCTTGAATCATATGGGCTTCATGTGTTTGCATTTGTATTCAGATCAATACATCAACATAATTTTAATACTAATTCATATATTGGATTGAAAATAAGGTATTTTAAGACTATGTCTCTTCAAAGAGACATTAGGCCTATCTTTTGACAGAGGGTTTTATTTTTCTGTACCTTTACATCCTAGTAATCTAATTCCATCACTGATTTTATTTGAAAACATTTAATTAAAGAGCTAATACATCAAATCCTAAAATGGATTTCATTACCTAAAAAACTACTTACAAGCAACTGCTAGCACTGGGACAAAACCCAGTAAGTTACATACATTCCCCATATAACAGCAGAGAATTTAAAGATGAATTCAGATATTCCCCCCAAGTTTAGGTAAATTGTAATTGCAGGCAACAGTTTATGTTGTCAACAGCAGGTGAGTGCAGTAATCCTGACACTTCATTTGAAAGAAGGTCTCAATAATAAACAGCAAGCAAACAAGTGCATGCAAAGTAACAGGAACCTTATAAACTTAAAGCATATTTTGGTGTGTGAATTTTCACAAAAAAGATCAACACTAGGTTGTGCCACATTGGACTATAATGAAGCACTGGCTGGATGTCCAATAGATAAATAATTCTTGATATTTTCTGAGAGATTATCACAGAATTGTGTGGTAATGACTTCACAATATGCAAATATTTACCACTTGCCATTACTACTTAATTTCCAAAGAATTATAAATTGAAAGTCTATGTAAATAATTACTGCTTAGAAAATCCAAGAATTACCCATACATTTTGGGAAAATAATTTAGGTATCAGGTTCTTGTACTAGTTATATAGAGATACAGTTTGTGCACTTTTTCATCATCCACAAATCCTCAAAAGATTAATAACTGCTCTGCCAAACAGTGTTTTAGCAGTAATTAATAAAGCCTGCAAAGTATAAAATTCTATACTTACTCTGACTCTAAGTTGATTAGCACTGTTTTCAGTGCTTGCACACACCAAACCTACTCACTGAACTTTGAATTTTGGCTCCAAAATGAATATACACTCAGGCTACTGGAACATAAGATAAGGAACAATACATAAACAAATTTTGGCATGCAGAAATCTCTACCAGTGTCACAACAAAACTGAATACAAGCATGATGTCTTTGCTGGAAGACAGATATCCTAGAAATATATTTCAAGATTTACTACAAATAATGTCTTCAAGTGACAAGAAATTCACATTTAGGGATTCAGACTGATCAGGCATCTTCTTTTACCTTTGAAGAACCTTACTGACTAAAATAGAACTTAAGTATAAATATCTGTTCATATGGCTGAAATCACAGAAGCCTGATTTTGGTTCATTTGTTCAGACACACAGTGTACTACTGCACTAGCTATGAAGCAATGAATAGCATTTTTGAATAATTACATACAGATTACAGAAGCAAAGAAAGGACAAGTAGTGAAGACATGAGCAGGTAATTAGATACAACCTACTTGTAAAAATGGGAAGGGAGTAACAAAGCATCTGCTGGCCAATATGTTACATGAGGTATTAATTCCAGATTTTGGTTGGTTCTTTTGAAGTTGCT